CCAGTCAGTTCGGGTTAAACTCTGTTAGGATTTCTTTACAATGCTCTCTCTTAAAGTTTTACTCAGTGCTTCTCATAAATTGGATTCCCTGTGCAGTTTGTGTGTTTTGAAGGGTTTAAAGTGAGAGTATCTAACTGCTAAGAGCTGTTTGTAGCTGAAGTCAAACATCCACATTTGAGGAGATGTTTTTTAGTGGACAAATACTTCTATTCCCTGAAGGAAGGAGGGATTTAAATAGACTGATTTTTCCCAGAGGCACCAACAGGATTTTATTGTTGATAGTAAAAAGCAGCTGGTAGTTCTCTGAGAACTCTTGTAGTTCTTCAGAATATATCTTCAGTATCAGAATATGGGTTTCCGCATTTACCCCAAGATCTGCTTTATACCCTAAGCCCAGAAGGCTGAACGAAGTCAGTGTATGTTTTAATATTCAGGTGCCAAACTGAGTTACAAACTCGATGACCTGAAAAACAGGAGCGGCTATTGGTTGAAAAAGTAGGAGTCGGACTATATGTGTCCTTTATAGAAAACAGGCATGTAGTGACAGCCTCCAAAAAACACACACAAAGGTTTTATTCTTCATCATATCTAGCGGGTGAAAACTGGGCAGTTTTAGGCTTACCAGGTCTAATTCTGTCAAATTTAAAAGTAGCAGTGTACACTTTCATAATATCTAATATTAGGAGGACAGTTTACATAATCATCTAAAATAGTTTCTTTTTTTTAATGAAATGCTGAGAGGTTTTCTTTAAAATAATCTTGTTTTTATTATGTGAAAGGTTTAATGAAAATGCTCGGCTGCTTTGAAGATTTCAGCAAAATTGGAGATTTTTGGAGAAACAGCAATTGTCATTGAGTAAAGAACAACCTTCTAAAAAAAGCATGAAAGTATTTGGTTTGTAGCTCAGTGGACCATATTAGCTTTGCGGCAGAAAAAGCTGATTGTTAATGAGGTCAGATGGAACTGATTCATGTTTGGCATTCAGTTCGCTTACTTACTGTGCTTCTTTTTCAAAATACTTAATAAAACATATGTACCATTTTATTATGTGCTATTTTAGTGTCCTTCAATTTCTGTTTATTGAGAACTTTCTGTGATTGTTACCTTAATAGTTTCAGACTATTCACCAATCTCCCAAAATGAAGAAAATCAGCACAGATAAATTTCTGCACCTCTACTACCGGCCGATGTTAGTAATTTTTTAACAAAACAAGTGTTATACCGCTTAAAAAATTATTATTTTTATTTAATTTAAATTTAATTTGGATTAACAAAAACTTAGTTCCACTACTAGAGCGTTCGTGTGCCTACCATTGCTTTTCTTCTACGACATAAGCATTACTAAAGAAGACTCATACTGTTAAATATTTCCCAATCAGTGTATCCCCAGTTTAAAGCAAACAAACAAAATAGCTACAATGTATTTAATATACTTTTCAACACTCCATGCATAGTAGGGAGAAAACCTTTCAGTTCTTCTGGTGATAAAGAATGGATCTTCGTGCTTTGCGATGAATATAGACTCAGAATGGCTGGCTACAAAAACAAAAACAACTAACCCTTGCTGATGAATTTAGGTTTCTCCTGAGGAATTTAGCATCACCAGCATGAAGCCTCAAACAGTGCTGCTCTAATTGTGTGACCGAAATGTTCTTGGCCTTCAATTATGCCACTTACTCATAACTAAAGGCAGAACGTTTGTTTATAGTCAAAGTTTCCACACTTCTTATTGCTACTTCCAATCAGATGTCACAAAAGGTGTTTTATATTACTTACCTACACGTTATAACGAATAAACTGTCTCTTGGACTTTAGCACCACAATATTTACAGCCTCAGAGAGTGCTTGTCCTTTTTTGACTTTAATATTATTATGTGACTAAACTCGGCAAGACTTTGAGGTGACATCCAGGCATGTGATTATCTTATGTTTCCAAAATAGGAGGCAGCTATCCAAAGTAAATCACAGAAACAGCACTGGACTTATAAACAACAGATTGGATGACCTTAACGTGAGGTCATCCAGTGTGTGTTATAAGACAGACAGTTAAAAACTAGACACGAGACAAACAGTTAAAAACTAGACATGAGAGGTTCTCACAGTATGAAAATCTAAAGTAGAATTACTATAAAATTCTACAAAACAGACTAATTAAATCATATAGGATATTATATTTTTATATTTTGAGATTATTTTTTACTGCTGTAACCTAGAACAAAGATTAAACGCAGATTTTTAGAAAGAAACACAAGTATAACAAACAGGTTAAAAAGTATTATTGGTGATTAAGTGATCCGGATAACTCCTAACTTGATAGGCAACTAAAAATAGTCTCATGTTAAGAGAGTTGGTTGTTGTTCCTTTATATTTTTTTCTTACATGACTGTTTTGTCTATTTTTTCCAGACAGCTGGATTTAACAAAAGTTAAATGGCCTTTTTTTCAGTCAGTTTAATGGCAGTGCTCATCAACAGCAGAGGGAATGGCAGGGCTTTGTTACTCCATATAGCCAGAGAAAATATGATTGCGAATTTTTGAAACTTTAAAATACTTTGTTCACCATAAATTGAGGCAATATACTCAATATGAAAATTAATTATTTTGTGGAAATGTTAATTTTTGTAAATGCTTTTACAATTTATTTATATAACCACAATGACTTGAGGTTCTACAGATAGTTGTTGTGGCTAAAAGACAAAAGAATTGTGTTTTAATAAGGCTGCTATTTCCTTGCCCAGCAGGAGGAAGATGAAAGCAGCATACCCCACCATGCTTTATTTACTTCTTGGTATGAGGAAAATCCTTTCTAATCTATGGGGCTCTACTGAGCTTCAACTCAAAATGAGTTCTGTAATCACAGGAACATGAACACAGACCAAAGCATCACTACACCTGGGGTTAACCAGGAGCGTTTTCATCAGAGAGGCTTACTCACATAAAACCCGGAGCATGGTCAAAAGTTCAGGGACAATAAGGACGACGACATGGGGTTGAACATGCCTCATGGTCAAAATAATATGTGGATGGTCTGGTAAAGATAAGTGACCAAACATACAACCTTCGGGTCATTTTGACCCGAGGCCTGGGTTTGGTTATTCTTATTTTTTTTGTCAAGTTCACATTTGAATTGCTCCAGCAGAAAATTCCATCTGAGTTGTGAACACTGTAGGTCTGATTCAGGACTGTTAGATTTAAAGTTGCTGTATGCAGTTGCAATTAAAAAAATGTTTTTTAAGGGCTTGTCCTCGGGTCATGTCAACCCGAGGGCAACAGGAGGGGGGGGAAATTTGAAAAGATATCAGTTTTATGGAGATCAATGATGCCATTCCATACTGTTTGCCTGTCCAGCTGTAATTTCCTTAGTCTTCGGGTCAGTCTGACCTGAGGCATGGGTTTGGTTATCTTTATTTCTTTTGTCAAGTTCACATTTGAATTGCTTGAGCCTAAACTTCCGCCTGAGTTGTGCACACCATAGTTCTGATGCAGGACTGTTAGATTAAAGTTTCTGTATGCAGCTGCAATTGAAAAAAATATTTTTTAAGGGCTTGTCCTCGGTCGACATGAGCTGAGGACAACAGGAGGGTTAATATGGTAACGTTAAAATGGTTAATATCTTTTAATGGAAAGCCAGATGAAATGTTGACAAAAGCCTTCTCTACCTGTTACTGCACACTGCCTATCAGTTGGCTGAAAGAAGGCTAATGCAATTTAATCTCCTTTAAAAGAAATAAATAATATTTTGAGGCACCCTTACAAAGATAACCCAAATCAAGTTTTGACATCCTTTGTTCATCCTTTATTTTTACTTACAAACATATAAGTATCTCAAGCTCAAAACAAGAATTATTTTTTTTTCCAGTTTTAGGAGTAACTGTTGATCTTCTTTTCTAATGAAAACATGTTGCTTAGTACATTTTTTGCTGATAAACTTCAAAACCAAAATGTTTTTAATCAAGGTTATCAAGCAGTAGAATGCCATGCCGACCACTATCAAGAAACATTCCTTAGTGTTCAGTCATAACGTTTATCTTATTCTGTTTTTTTTTCAGTTTAAATATATAAATGTAATTCATGCTACATGTTGCAAAACCTTTTTACTTATTATCAGTGAGACTTGTGTTACATAATATTTTTATAAACATGTACAGATCTGGATGTCAAATCAATCCATCTGTAGCATTTGGAAACTAACCCTGAACTACCTTATAATAAATAACTTCTATGTTTAGACACATAGAATTATATAGTTCTCAAAAAATTTAACCAAAACATTATCAGACAAAACTTAACCCAGAAAGTGGAAAATAGAGCTGCATCACAGATTCTAATAAAATATTAGAATCAGAAAATTGATGCTGTTTTAACCTTATAATTTAAAATTTGTCCTTTTGAAATTGAGAATGTTTGGTGGTTGAAATGGTGAGTAACTGGTTGAGCTGGTGTTTTCACTGAATACAAGAACCAACCTACAAGAATCAACCAAAGACAAATTACTTTTCCGCAGAAAAGGGAAGAAGAGCTCGACGCGGAGAGAACCGCTGCCAAACACTGTCTGAGATCAACTCCGTCTCTCAGTCCCCAACTGCCTTTTATTATTATGTGAATGCACAAAGAGGTTGGCTTTCTCACTCAGACATGCAAACAATTGACCAATACACTATCCTACAAGATGTTCTGGAAGTCTTCCATTGATGTCCCATTGTTGGGACACAAGGATGACCACTCTCAGGATCATTGATGTCCCATTGTTGGGACACAAGGATGACCACTCTCAGGATACAGACAAAGATCATTGTGGCTCCTTAACACAGAAATGTGTGAGACATTTCCAACCCTCAAGAGAACACTCCAAAAGACAGTTGAGAATATACAATATAAGAAAGGGAAAGAAAACAAGACACGGAATAATATAAAAACTTAACCATTCAAATAAAAGTAAATGAACTTAAGATAATAATTTTCCTAACAATACAAAATCTCTACTTTTTTTTTGTTTGCAGCAAGTAACGTTCCCCTTGTTGATGAGCGTTGGCACTGCGGTGATTGGCTCCCTGCAGTTTGGATACAACACAGGTGTCATCAATGCTCCACAGAAGGTGAGTTGGACACTCAACCTTAGATCATTAGGACATGAGTCCATTTTAGACCAATAATACAAATTAACTAAAGATTAAATATCTGTAAAAAAAAAAAAAAGAGGTTAGTTACCAACTCTGAATTTGTTTGCTTGTGTTACTGGATGTCAGGACAAAATAGAAAAAGTTTAGGTTAAGAGAAGAGATAAAAGTAGCTCTCTTCTGTCCTAATAAGTCCAAGGACATTAGTACCAGAGTTTCTGTGCCCAAAAAAGGACGTCGTCTGTTCAGCCGTCTGCTGGAAAAGGGCAGTACTTTTTAGAAAAAATAATATGCAAAGACTTACCTATTCTGTAGCTAAACAAAATAATGAAAAATATATGTTCATGCCCCCTTAGGAACATTTCTAATGTGGGTTTTATTGGCAGACTAAGACATCAGAGAGAATAATTTCTCTTGGAATGTCAAACATTTCATCACAAGTAAATAACTTTTGTGAGGTGGCTCTGCATTGGTCTGAACACACCCTGCAGCCACACAGCTGCCTTTTCATAAGACTCACCTCTCACAGGTGGCTAAACAGGTCAGTTCATTTTTTTATTATCTTTACCATGCTCACACCTAACAATTTCTGTTTACAGTGAAAAAAAAAAAAAGACTTTAATTATGCTGTCAAAAATGTTCTAGACTGTGATTTAAACAGACTTTAAAAACGCAGAGAAATAAGGAGAAGAACTCCAACAATTAATTTCTTAACCTACACTTTTTAAGACCTGAGGTTTTTGCAGAAACTTGACAAATTATCTTTCAGCTAAATCATCCTTTTCTGAGCCTCTGGTGAAACGAGCTCAGAGAAATGTCTTTAGTTCTGACACAGAGATAAAATTACTGTATGATGGGAAACAGGTGGAAAGAGGAAAGAGGTTATCATTCAAATGTGGGGCCTTTTAGAGAGGACAAAAATTTACATATTAATAATTAGTTACAACCATAAAACCTAGAAAATGGTTTATTGTTGACAATATGTCCACATACATTCTTCAACTATCACAGAGCTAGAAGTTGTTCCTTACAGAAAGGACATGCTTTAAAGACATTTTCTTCTTTTGTCAGAGTTTTCTGTTCCTTTTTAAGAATAAACTGGTCTGGTCCCAAGTACTCAGCTCTGAATGTATTGATTGTTGGTTTGCTACTGATATAAAACATGAAACATTTCAGATGCTATTTACTGTTAGGTTTTCACATTTAAATCCCTCTGTCTGTCACTTCATGTGTCTTTGGAGTTTCTTCTCTACTTCCTTCTCTCTTGGTATGACGTGAGACTGTCTTTGTGTGTGATTGGCTGTGATCCTATCTTAATGAAGTCATTCATGTACGTAATTTCTCAGCAGAGCTCATCAGGGGCATCTGAGGACTCAGCACTCAGCAGCAGAAGTTCACTCTTCTTGTTTGCTACAAAGAGACTTTTTCACAAATAACAGCACCACTCTGAGCAAAATATGTTGCTTGTTGAAATTTTAAGCAGTGGTAGCTTTAAAACTATTTTTGAAATGTAGTTTATTTAGTTTTTAATATAAAAACTTTCCAACAGGAAATAAATATGCTAATCAGGCAGCAGCTTGAAGCCCTACCTTACCTAGCTGCAGCTGCTAGGTAAACTGGAATAAATTAATTGCCTTCTAAAAAAACAGACACTAAATAAAAAGTTGATGATCAAACGGTTTCTATTTCATTTTTAATGCCAATAAAAATTGGAATGCAAGTGGCTCAAAACAGATTTCCTCAGTTTATGTAAAACAAGAAAAGCCATATGAATCTTAAAAAAATATGATAGAAAAAAGCTAATACAGATAGTAAAACATTTCTCAGATTAGATCAAGAGCCTTGAGTGGCTCTTTGACCCTGCAACAGTGACTTTTTATAATTTGATCAAAAAATAATTAGAAACTAATTAATGTTTTTAAATATAGATATATGCATTTTTTTTAGTTGTATTGCATATCCACTGAATGAGATTAAAAATGCAATTAATAATATTTTGGATAATGTTTTTTCTGGCTATTAGGTTGAAAACCGGGTTTCTTCCGCATTTCTCACCATATTTGTTATTGTGTGTTACAACTTAAAAGTAGAAAAAGGCGGTGGTTTAAAAATGCCGCATTTCCGAAAGTAAATAAGTATTAAAAATGATATGTTGTTCTTCCTTCAGTAGATATAACTTCTGTGGCTCTTATTGAGTTTTATTCAGCTGGTCTCCATGCAAAAATGGCTCTTTGGGTTTGAAAAAGAAAAAGCAATGTTTAAAGATATTATGTGCAACATTTGCACATGAAATTTTACCTCTAAATAAAGTGGCTAAGTGCAGACGTGTGTATGTGAAGGTCATGGGTACAGTGCAATGCATGATAGAATATTTGTGGTATCACCAGGTGAGGTCTTGTGAGTGTAAGTCGATAGTGGAAATAACCTAGGCTCTGTGGTCACAGTGTCAGTGTACACGTGCTGCCACCAAAGGAAAGCCCTTGATAAGTGATAGCCACGCTCTTTAACCACGTTGCCAGGACACTGCTGACTTTCTAATTTCCCTCGCCTCTCCTCAGCTTCCAGCACATTAAGATCTCTGGTCAGGAGATGGATGACACAACCGGAGCAAGAACGACTTACGTTCAGACGAGGCTGTGACCTTTATGAGTCCTAGGAGAGACACGTGTGTCGCCATTCATGGGAGTGTTTTGTTGACATAGTGATGGCATCAGTGGAAATGGGGGAGGGGAGGAGAAATTTGACACTCCTTTGTGTCACTGACAAACTTCCTGGTTAATACAGGAAGTTGTGGTGATTACATAGAGTAGTTAGTACCGCCCTCAGCTGGTCGCTGCTCTGCCAACATCAGTGTTTGGATTTAAGGAGAAAAACATTGCGCACATGATCAGACTTAGGCACTTATGTAACTGTGATGATCGCATTAGAAATGTACACAACCGTGAATTGTAACTGTTTAATTATGTAACATTAAAATCTATGATCCTATTTACAGTAAAAACGTGTTTGAAAGCCTCTAACTTTCTGTAACACCCCACTTAGAGGTGTGAAGTTGCACATGTGCAGAATGCACAACTGTAGAGTTTATTCTACACATCCATGGGCAGATAACAAAATCAATGGCAGATAACATTGTGCTGTATTGTTCTGCTCAGTTTGACACAATTTCTGATGAGGAATATATGTTTCATGACCACTTTCATTCATGGGAGAGGGGAGATGGATTGCTGTTCCGAAAGAGATGAAAGCCAGTAAGGTTGGAAGCTAAGGGCCAAAAATGCATGTGCAATCAATTGTTAAGGCGTCTTAGTAATGCTGCCTAATAGTGGTGTGTGATACTTCATAGATTTTGTTTGAATAATTTATTAACACGCTGCAAAATTTAGGTAGTTTATGAAATACTTAATAAGATATTAACATGATAAATATATAAACAATGCAAATTTGTGTGCATTCTTTCCTAAATAAACAAAGTGCAAAAAAAAAAAAAATCATCATTTGACAGAAAATCAAAACAATCTTTTTTGAGGTAGAGTTGAGTTGAAATTTCAACTGTGATCTAAACTAAAGATAGATCACACCATACTATTATTGATCCAATTCCGATTTTGACTTGGTATCGATGCTACTGATATTTTAGATTGATCCTCTACAGTTGAAGTGTGAAAATTTTTCCTAATCAACATCTGAAAATATCAGGAGTTTCCAAGCATCACTCTCGTGTAAGCTTAGCATGAATCTGTGCTATTTATATTTATGCAGTAAAAGAATGTCTTCTTTTCTTAAACAGATCATTGAGAATTTCATCAATGAGACGTATCAAGAACGTTACCAGGAGCCCATCACCAGCGGCTTCCTCACAGCAATCTGGACCATTTCTGTATCCATCTTCTCTATCGGAGGCATTTTTGGTTCCTTCTCTGTCGGATTCTTTGTCAACCGTTTGGGAAGGTAAATAAATTACATCTGAGCCATAAGCATTGAAAGATACCAACTTATTTACCATTCTGCAATGTACAGAAATTACTTCTAAATGTTTCTGTGACTTCTACAGGAGGAACTCCATGCTCATAGCCAACATTTTAGCCTTCATCGCATCTGCTTTGATGGGTTTTTCAAAGATGGCCAGCTCTTGGGAAATGCTCATTATTGGTCGTTTTGTAGTGGGTCTCTTCTCCGGCCTCTGCACTGGTTTTGTGCCCATGTATGTTGGCGAAGTTTCCCCAACGGCCCTTCGAGGCGCGTTGGGCACGCTGCACCAGCTAGGAATTGTCATAGGCATCCTCATTGCACAGGTTGGTAATCAGAGGATGCTCCTATTCAACCTCCTATAATGTTTCTGCAACAATTTTTGCAGCTGGTTTATAATGTTTCTTTTCTCCAGGTATTCGGGTTGGAGATGATCATGGGTAACGCTGAGTTATGGCCTCTGCTGCTGGGCTTCCTCTTCATCCCGGCTGTGATACAAACTGTCCTGCTCCCGCTGTGCCCAGAGAGCCCCCGTTTTCTGCTCATCAACAAGAATGAAGAGAATAAAGCCAAAACAGGTGACTTAAACAGACTCATGATTATTTTAGTAATTGATTATTCATATGATGACAATTAATTCAATAATTGAGTCATCACGATTCATCCAATTAATTGCTTCCTAAAAATAAGTTACAAGTTAGTGATATTAGTAACCAGGCCATGTCTTGTTGCTATAGTTATGTAGGAATATGCTTGTATGGTTTAAAATTACTCCAAGATGCAATAAGAGAAAGAATAATCTGGCTTAATTTGTAACTAATACCTCCTTTTACCCATTTTAGTCCTGAAGAAGCTCAGAGGGACAACAGATGTGAGTTCTGACATGCAGGAGATGAAGGAGGAAAGCCGGCAGATGATGAGGGAGAAAAAAGTGACCATCTTGGAGCTTTTCCGCTCTCCGCTCTATCGCCAGCCCATCATTATCGCCATCATCCTGCAGCTCTCCCAGCAGTTCTCTGGAATCAATGCTGTGAGTTATTAGATATTTACACATGTATTTTATGTGTTGTAAATGGCAGAAGGCCCTGAAGACACTGACATGAGGATTGTGTGTTTTCTGTTTTAGGTCTTCTATTTCTCCACAAGCATCTTTGAGAAAGCCAAAGTTCCACAGCCAATTTATGCCACCATCGGAACTGGTGTTGTTAACACTGCTTTCACTGTAGTTTCTGTAAGTACAGCACGAAAATCAGCTCTTATGACAAACGTAACAGTAAATGTATTAAAACATACAATATAAAAATATCTGGATATTTTTATGCTTGAAGCTAAACCGTAAATGTAAAGTACTGTGACTAATTTCTATTCTACTCCACTCTGCATAATCACTCATTGACTGCAGACACAAATGTCAACCAAAAGAATTGCAGTTGTTTGTAATTTCCATCCAACTGCTCTGCCTTCACTCAAAATTAAAGCATTTTAGTTGTATCTTATTTCTTATGATCTACCACAGGGGATTTAACTTATTTTGTCACTCTTAGTTAAATTGGTTCATTGGGTTAAATTTTGTTTTATTCATTTTGTTTTTAAATTTGCTTAAATTGGATCAGATTAAATCTGCCAAGATATAATTTGTTCAGCCAGAAATAACGGTGAACCAAGCCATCCAATGCCTGTGTAATTGTGTTTTCTCATCTTTTTTTCAGCTGTTTGTTGTGGAACGTGCAGGACGCAGAACTTTGCACCTCTTGGGACTGATGGGCATGGCTGCGTCAGCCGTCCTGATGACCATAGCAATGGCTCTGCAGGTGGGCTCCCCTTTTAAGAAACACTAAATATGTACAGTACTTTCCGTATCACACATATTCTTCATTTTCCTTCTTGTCTTTTATTTCTGTAGGAAAATCTCGAGTGGATGTCCTATTTAAGCATTGTGGCCATTTTCGCCTTTGTGGCATTCTTTGAAATGGGCCCAGGTCCCATCCCCTGGTTTATCGTGGCAGAGTTGTTCTCTCAGGGACCCAGGCCGTCGGCCATGGCTGTAGCTGGTTTCTCCAACTGGACATCCAACTTTATAGTGGCACAAAGCTTCCAGTATGTAGAGGTGAGTGGAAAAAAACAGAGTGGCCTGGTGATAAACTTACTCAAGCACGGCCTCGTGAGGCCAGAAGATGAAATGCACCTTCTTGCTTTTAGACAGAGGCTTTCAGCAGAGAAAGCTCTCTGTGCATACTACCTTTTAAATACAAATTTTTAACAATTTCTGTTTTAACCAATTTCTTGAAATAAGTAAAAAAAAAAAGCAAAATATGGGAGTTTGTTGTCAGTGATTCAAGACTAATGATAAAAAGATTATTTCACTTATAATTTATGTTCATGAGTGAAATAATCTCCCAGGCAAATTACCATAGTGTTTTTTAAAATCAATTATAAGAAATTATTTACTTAAACAAGCTCCTAAATCTTGCTGAAAGGTTACTTGTAAACGAATTTTGTTTTATTTCAAGTGTGCTAAGATATTTGCACCAAAAACTAAACCAAAAATACATAATATGATTTTGTGCTTTCATACTGTAGCAAAGATTACTATAAGTACACACACAAGGCAGAAAGTATGGAGTTGTTTAAAATTTGAAGAAGAACAAGGAACACATTTTGATGTGATAACTATTGTTCTCTTTTTATGTCTCCACAGAAACTCTGCGGTCCCTACGTGTTTATCATCTTTACTATCCTGCTGCTCTTCTTCTTCATCTTCACGTACTTCAAAGTGCCAGAGACCCGGGGCCGGACGTTTGACGACATCAGTGCCGGATTCCGCCAGACGGCCGGAATCGGAGCAGAGAAGCACTCGCCGGAGGAGCTGAACAGCCTGGGAGCGGACTCTCAGCTCTGAGCGAATGGTTGCAAATGTTTCAGACAAACTCTTTTTCACAGGCCGAGTGCGAGCTGGATGGGTCCGCTGGTTAGAAGTAGACAGATCTTCTGGTCGGACTAATTTTTACTCTGTCACCACATTTCGGACATCGACTCCAAATCGGCGGTTTCTGCTGCTTTGCTCTCATTGCGTAAAACAGATATAAGAAAAGATAATAATAATAAAAAAGAAAGCCTCCATATTTGAGGTGTCCTCTGACTGTAGGGAAGAGAGGAGCTGACGAGAAATTTGGAGGATTTTGATATTTTGGAAATATTTTTAAAGGAAAAAATGAATTTGCATCACTCGACCAGTTTCTGTCACCTGTTTTTTTTTTTAGTATTTTACTGATATGTTCTTTACTGCTCAGTGTGATAATAAACTCAGCACAAGGAGTTTATTATCTGGCTAAAGAGTTCTATAACTGTAAAAAAAAAAAGTTCACTGTGGAGAGATTCTTATTTTTATCGACCATACTGTATTGCTTCATATTTTAAGACTCCGGCGCCATTGTGCTACTGTGTTCTTCCTCCAGATGGGGCTATTACTTTACAAAAGGTGCCCAATGTTCCACTTTGACAAAACAGAATGAAGTTACATAGTATACAAACTGTGCTGGCAAGCAGTTGAATGTTTCTTAAATTAACTCCTTGTTTGGTTACGATGTCAAATTTTATTCAGCTTAAAAAGACATGTTATACATAATATGTCTATTTTTTTTAAACTAATATATTTGGTTCTTTCTTTAGTTGCTTTCACAACTTATGATCTCTGAAGTAAGCTGCAGCAATTAAATTAAATCACTCACAATCAGCTGCCATAAAACCAAAAAGTTCCCTCACTTAGGTTTAAGTGTCCGTCTGAATCAATGGTGTTACCCCAGCCGTCAATAAACATACTTCTGGTCAGGCTGAACTTATCTAGACTAAACAGCTTCAGTTTAATTTTGCTAATGTCCAAGTGTTGCGAGTTTGGTGCATTAGTTTAAAAAACTATGTTTTTCTCTTCTGTCTCTTTTAAAAAGAGACAGAAGTAAATTAGACCAAACTGAACGAGAGGATTTCTGTTACCCTGATTATGTTTCATTTCTAGTTCTGCTATGTCGGTGTTTGTTACTGTTTTGCCACCAGTACTGAATTTAGTAGAGTGTTCCTGCTCTCTTGCTATTCTGCAGTCATGTCCTTTACTCTGCACAGATGTTTGTAAAACAAAACCAAAAAACAATAACTGAAACAAATCCGGTTTGCCTTGCTGCACAAATCGCTGTCTATCTCTGCTGTATCCCTTGTGAGAAACTGTGTCTTCTCTCTGAGTTTGAGAAAGGTTATCATGTTAGCAGCACTTTATTATTCACAATGAGACCGACGATGAGGCTAAGTCTGTTACCTTTTGATGCACAGTGTGTATACTTTGTCACGACAGTGAGATGGAAGAACTGCTGACAGATTTTTAAAGACGTTTTTGGATGGAACCTTTGGAAGTTTATCTTCACAAGCCCTTTTTCTGCACAGATTTGAACCAAACATATCACAGCAATGAAGACATTTAACATCAGCAACAAAAAGAAGTTTTTAATCATTCGAGGACCAGCAGTTTGCTACATGTGTAGCAGTTCTTTCCTTTACACTGTAACATCCACCCTTTGCCTTTGTGTGCCTTTCACTTAATATCTCCATAAATGTTTTATAGTAGCAGCACCATCTGATGTCTATTGCTGATACTAAAACTATTAAAATTTCACTCTTGTATATAATTTAATAAATATGTTTGGGCATTGAATTGTGGTATGTATAGCCTGTGACATTCAGTCATAGGCTATATATACCACAATCCCAGGTTAAAGACATGGGATGAAGGCAACACATGGATCCACACCCTCCAGATAACGTAAATCTTTTACTTTTTAATGTTGTTTTTCTTTTTTTTACACTTAAATTATTAATGAGGTAGAGCAGCACATTTTGCCTTATTTTTCTGACTACATTTTTTTCCACTTTTCGATACTGTAACTTTTAGATTTGCATGTAAAATTTTTGTAGTGTTTAGAGGATTGTGGAAGAAGCCTTTTGTTGGGTAGTATGAACTGTGATGGATGATGCTGTAAAAATTGTTGTGTAAAACTTGTGTTTATCAGACGAATAAACAAAATCATACAAACAGATTTGTGAAGTTTTATTTGATACTTTTGGTTTTTGTTCTTTGCTTTTTATCACACTTGATTTAGATCAACAATTGGATGTAAATAGTAAAACAACTCTGCTTACCTGCTTGGTTTGGAAATTTTCTTCCTCAAATAAAATAATCTTCTGAAAATTGTTTTTTTTTTTAGTTAGTCAGGCTAGCTATAGTATTGGATTTTATCTAAAACATTGAAGTGTGACAAAAAGAGCAAATATCAGTAGAATATATGAGGAGACATACTGTTTGGAAGCACTCTATTTGAGTAAGTTTATTTTCTCTTGTCTTCATTTTGAAGGGTAAACACATCATCATATGTCATAAAAGATGTCATAGGTTTCCAGCAAACAGTTCCTCAACACTCTGATCAATGTAAAAAAAAAAAAAAAGTTGCATTTATTAAAGAGGAATTGTTAGGTGATCAAAGAAAAATTTCCACAATGAAGAAAGTCTAGTAAATACGTAAAGATCCCTGGGTGAAACCTGACAAGAAAGTTTAAACTGCAGGCAGGTAGAGAAGCCAACAAAACATGAGAAATTATATAGATGCGAACCAGAGGTTCTGGTAGTACCTGTCAGCAAGTATATTTAAATAAAATACATAAATTAAAGGGAAAGGATGCAGGACGTACTGACAGCTTGAGTATGATAAATAGCCTTGACTTGAATCTTTAATTTTTTATTTTTTTTCATTTTCTTAATTAAAATGTACAGTTTGATCATAAAACAGTAGATTTCAAGGCAATTAAATATTTTACACCAGACTTTCTCTTTTTTCACATTTTTCAACATCCACTGTAGTTCAATGTTTTTATGTAATCTATTAAAACAGTTATAGCTCTGAAGGGGTGAAATATTTCTGTTATTAAACATTTTTTGTAGAGAATACAATTGGATGTGTTGACTTTTCTTGATGAAAAGAGGAGGAGAGGAGATGATTTCAAGATCTGCAGCATCAACAAGAGTAGGTCAATCTGTATTTGAAACATACTTATCTTCCCTCATGTCTTTCTGCTGCCTTTAATAATGTACAAGCGTTTCACCCCCACTTTGCGGCTTTTCGCTGACATCTGTTACATCTTAAAACCAGAAGCTATTTCACTTTTATCTCTTGCCTCTGGTCTTCTCAAAAGCCTGCTTGAAAACTTTCACGTGTGCCATCTATAAAAGGACAGATGTTCAAGTGCACAACTATCACAGTTCAGGTTTGAAGCAATTTGCAAAAAATACTTATGCAGATGAGAGAAAAGGTGCGAATCGCATTTGGAAATCCAGGACCCTCCCTGTGAATTTTAAACATCGTTCAAGGCTGCATAGAGGCTTGCATGGGTAATAAGATGCAGGAGAGGCTCCGGCAAATGTAAGCATTTGAATATGTTTGATCATGTCCTGCCAAAGGAGTGACTACAGACGAGACAGGCTGACTTCAAGATGGAACAAAGCAGTACACAGGGTCCTTGGCGTACCTTCCATATTTCCTACTGTTATTACACTGCACATATGAACCTCTGTGCCAAGCTGTGTTTAGGGTTGACTTTTTCTATTTTGCTGAATACCACTGTGAACATGAACTGCAGTCTGACTATTGCTTTGACAGAAAAAAAACAAAAGAAATTCTTCAGGAGTGTAGGAGAAACATTGTGCTGAAGCCAGTTAAAAAACTAATTTACATAATATTACCTTGGATTCATGCTTGTGCAGTTAATATGACAGCTGCAGCCAAGGTGTCTGATAGTTTTCTCTGCTATTTAATCCCACAGTAGGCTGGAGTGGAAAAGAAGACATGGGCTTTACCTGAATTTATATTTCTCCATTTGTTCAAGTGCAACTGTTGGACTAAATTTAGATAAGGAAATATTATGAGACTAGAAAATGATGTTATTGCTTTAAAACAACCGACAATGACTGATCAGCATCCAGACAATGTTCAATACATTTAGCTATCCATGAATCCACCAAAAGAAGCCGCTGGAGCTACAAATACAAACTTAATCTAAATCTGATGCAAAGCATCTTTTATACCCCGTTTTGTCCACATTGTCCCTGTTAAATAATCTAAACTAAACTGGACTAAACTAAGCTAAGTTAGGCTATTGGCTAAGTTTTCCCCTTTTCTAAGAGAACTTCAGGTTTCAGTATCTTGCAACTATCTACTACTATGTGTTCTTCATTGTCCAATAACAGTTTAAAGAGCAAAATAACATAAAAAAAACCTTCATGCTAACTTGATGGTAAAAAGATGATTAAAAATGACTAAGATGTCCATTGTATTGATGGATGCTTTTCAGTCAAATTTCTTCAGTCTCTGCTTCCTAAAAATGAAAGTGTTAAAATATCTGAATGAACTGAACTTCACACATTCCCCACATTGGGACGCAGTCAAAAAAACAATTTACATGAGCATAGAGAAGAGAAATCAATTCAACAGTTTGTAGGAGAATTAGTTCCTGATGGAGCTGTGAAATTAGTTCAAAAAGTTTGTTTGTTCTGATGGAACTGGCACTGAACACTGAAGACAGATGTCATTAACCTCGAGCAGGATCTCTGTCCAGTCCTACTGATCTCACTGCCATGAGAACAGACTGTGACCTTTGTGGGTCGCTGATGTACCAAAACAACTTGGCTGTAATAATAACTCAACCATCCGAAAATCTTACAGCTTAAGAAAGAACCACCAGCCTGTAGATTGCCTTTTAACATGGAGGTTTGACCCCTATTTCCTGAGGGGCACAGCTTTCAGCGGCCAATACTCAGAAAATGGAGCTCTTTATAGGGGAATGATCATCAGACAAGTTGATCCTGACAAATCAATATGAAACCATTCTCTAGAGAACTAAATGTCAAAGTGTTAAGAGTAGGGACTGTGAAAGAGTTAAGGTTGAAACAGCTCAAGCAGCAGCCGATCCTTAAAAGACTGAATGGCAACTTTTGGTTGAAAGCTACCATTGGACAGGAAGTAGCTTCTGTCTCAATCTTTACAGACCTGAAAGTTTTTGTCTTTTTGATCAGCGAAGGGTCTGGCATCTAATTTTCAAGAATGCATCAATTGTGGCGCAATCACAAGCTAGACTGCCTGGCACTGCTCTCACACTATTCCCTTCATCGAGCTGCAACTGTTTTGTCAGAACTGGATTTTAAAATGTTAAAACTTAATAACATCAGAAGAAAGTTGGGAAAAAATGTTTTTAATATCTCTGTCTGGACCATTTATTGGAGCGAACCATCATGTTAAAAAACAACCTAATTTCTTTTGTTTTGAAGAGCTCATTTATTTTGTTTGTTTGTTGTTTTTTTTTTTTTACTGATATTCAGTGTAGCCATTCTGAGGTAACTGTAATTTATTAAATTCTGACTTCCCAGCCAGTTTGTACAAGAAGAAAGTTTTCAGATTTCTCCAATTTAATGCTGTGTCACGTTTTCTTTCTTTCTTTTTTTTATCATAAGTAATTTTAGAAAGATTTATAGGCTAAATATCAGAACTGGTTATAATGGCCTTTGGCTAATTTCACTATCTGCAAATATAACTGTGCCCCAAGTTGATGTTAAACACTGATTGTGTGCATATTTTCACAGAAAATAGCGCTTTGAGGCACATAGTTCAGCGGTTAAGCATAGGCCACAGTACTCAGTGCAGTTGCACTGGTTTGCTGCATGTCTACCCTTCTCTCTGTTCATTTACTAATGAAAGCCACTAGTGACACAGAAACCTAAAAAAAATACATAACACTTAAAATATGTTTTAAAAAGATTGCTATGCAGACTTTGTTTGGAAGATTTCTGATGGTTTAATCATTTTAATTGATCTTTTTCTACTGTAAATGTTTTCATCCATCTCCCTTTAACATAACTTTGCTGGATGTTTCAGATGTTCTAGTAAGGTTTTGTTGTGTTCAAATGAAATGTGATATAATGTTGGTTTTATTTCTGGTGCTCAATAGAAGTTTTGTCTGAGTGCTTATAAAGGTCAATGTTTCTCTTAAATCAATAATAAGATTTTATCAATTAAAAATAATCCACAGGCATTATAGCTAATTTTAAATACTGTTCAATGTGCACTTGCTTATTCTTTGTATGAGAAAAAAAGAAGTGGAAGGGGAAGAAAAAGAGAGATAAAACCAAGATTGAAAACCTGACTTGTTTTTGTTGCCTTTCAGCATCAGAACCACCACAATAAAACAGGAAACAAAAATATTTTAGTATGGTCAGACATGGCAGTTCACTTTTATCAAGACAACTGTGTCTGTATAGATAGTTTCTTCCACCTTCACCTCTATTAGCTGTAGGTGGCAAAATGTTCTCTAGTTTGTATACAGAGCTGTCTAATGCCCTTAACGAAAATTACCAAAAGACATTAAAACTGGAAAGTGGCATAATTTTACATATGATAGTAAAATGTGCAGTGGATGTTATAAAAAAAAACAACAAAAAACAAACAAACAAACAAACAAACAAAAAAAAAACAACTATTGCAAACTGAATCTTGAAAGAGTAATCAATAATTTCTGGTCTAGCAAAGCATCTTCTGTTTTATCTGCTTTTGACTGAGCCTTCAGATTCATCAGCTTACTGATGAATCTGAATCTTTCATTATTGAAGATATTTCATTCATCTAGCACTCAGTGCCATTACACACCAAAGCATAATTTATTATTCATAGGTAATAAGTGAAATGTGTGATTTTTGATTATTTTCATAAAATAAATCAATTAAAAGTGTTAAAAAAATAGTAACATAATGAGGAATGTTGATTAAATCCATAAGTTTTTTTTCCCCATAAGTATTCAGTGGTTAGTTTATTTAAAATTAGGCTTTTGTTAATTACATCAGTAAAAGCTATTTGTGCACGTCTGACATACACTGCAAAGATTAACTACTTAATAAAATACCCTCACAGAATACAAAATGAATCCACAGGCACAGATAAGCCATTTTAAGCTGTTTACAAAACTGACTCTATGTGGAGGATATGGCAAGGAGGTTGGT